CAATCCACAATGCTTGAAATAGTATGTATGCACAGTTGGACTGTGTACTGTGTGTTTACCGTAGACGTTCACTTTCTTTCCCCGTCCCTGAAAGTAAGTCCAGTCCCTATCCTCCTTACATATTCTCACTGATCTTGTATGCACTATGAGTTTGGCAGCGATCAGTTCGTTTCACTGTATTAGGCTATACAACGCTGATGAATAAAATATTGTTTGATGTTTTACACAACTAGGTGCTTCTTTGTCGGACAGTACCAAGAGTGTCGATCCAGGGAACGATGATGAGACAACGTTATTGATTGTTTGATTCAAGCTGTGGCGCGCCGATTGTAGCGTGGCGCAAAAAAGTTCATTTTTCGATGAGACCTTGAAACACGCTTCAAATGTCCCTGAAAAGCTGCTTCAAGTGCAGTTTTATGAATAAAGGCCCTGTTTTATTTGTGCTTCATCTTCACGTACAATCCTCAGGTCGTCCAGCCAGCTAAAGACTAGGGCAGCGCTAGTGATTGCATGTGAGGATGGAGTTTAAAGGATTGTCACTCCAAATCATTATCTATTATCCCACACTACTCCGGGGCAACTGTGGAGTAAATGTGAGTCACAACTGCTGCTTGGTGATTTGTGGCCATTCAGCCCGAACCGTCATGGAAGAGCTGATCTGATAAGACGCTTTTGACTGGAGTTAACAGGTGGTCAGCTTTCTCCCGTCATTACTTTGAGGTTTAAAATGAAGTGACTGACTATCGTTGAAGACGACAGCTGATCGAACGTAAACTAGCAATTGTGGCCAATTCCGGTGTGAGCTAGCACAGTGGTAACACACTCCTTCCATGCAATCGATCCAGAGTTCAAAGCCCGAACGGGATGGTAGATATGCACTACGGAAGAGCTCTGGAAAAAAGTGCGTGGTTAACTGGACGAACCGATAATTGTGTATGAAGGTAAAATCTAAATGGTCGTCGTTCAAGTCGATGCCATTTAACCTACTCTCTACTCACAAATAATTGTGGGCGAACTATGAACAAACTTCAGATAATGTCCTTGTCTTTCTTTTTGTTTACTTTTTTATTGAACAAATAACTGTAAGAACAATTTTTTAGGAACGTTTAACGGCCAACCATGTGTTACACTCACAATGGGAACTTCAAGCTACACTGGTGTAGTTCGAGCACGATCTCCGGGGTGATAAGTTGGTTGCCTTAACCACTTGATATTCGTCACTCATTAGTGATGGGCTCTAAAAATTTCAGCCATTTTCGATGTGAACTTATTATCTACCTGCCTACCCTTAAAGGGGTGTATGGAGGTGCAGTTGGTTGGTTTTTCGCCGTGGACGTTCAATGTGATCATGGCTCACAGATCATCCAAACCACGTGGTTACACGCTTAGGTTTAATTAATCGCAGTGGCGCGGTGAATTAAGTGTTTATCTGCTTGAAGTATGATTGCTGGGGCATGTTTCACGCGTTAGAGGTTAGGTTTCTTCAGTGTACGATGTTTGCGAAGGCGGGTAGTGAGTGCAAAAATACCAAGGTCAGTTGAACTAGTACTCAGGATATGAAAGTCGTGATTAGGTTACTTGGTCATATGTCTTGCTAGACTCCCTCGGAATTACTTATCTTCAGGTGTTCGATGTGATTTGTTTCAGGTCGTGATCATTTATTCCTGCTTCAGCTTGATTCATTTTGGCTATTTCTACGGTCTTGGTGTTTAGTGTGCTTTCTATCTTTTTTTGTATCAGACACGTCCCCCAGGCATGGATGTGTTGACTTCAACGATCCTAGATGGGTTGCATGTGGCTAACATGGCACTTCGTTTTATCTGTGGTCTTGGCTCGGGATCTGTCATCAAAAATCCGTCATTTTATTCCAAGCTGGATTCAAGCCTGGCAGAAAGTTCCACACTGATGTCCGACTGTTCGCAAACCGATGAATCCTCGATAACCGGTGGAACTAGGTCTTCGGATATCGGTGTACTCAGTGCACGCGCCAAGCGTCTGTTGCGACGTGTGCACAAGGATAGTGAGACAAGCAGCTTGTTGGAGGCAGTCTAAGACGATGTATCCTGATGTATCATTTTTTCCTTTCCGGTTTTCTCTGATCCGATAGACTTTTCTCTTTGTCTATAGTTCTTTTTGGAGAAAAACTCGCTCTTTGGTCACTTAGATTGCATGTGCATGATTGAATGAATGAACGGATACAGGTACACACTCACGAGTCACTGTGTGTGTATGCGTGTATATGCTTCTATCTGTACAGTTGTTTAACATTGGGTGAGCTTTTGGATTTTTATTTTCATTCATCCCGAAGCTGCTGCTCTCGTGTGATGACTCAGTCACATCTGTATCGCCAGGTCAATGTTTGTTTAGTAATCACCCAACTCCACCGTCGCTTCCTGTTTCCCTTCAGTCCAAAGAACTCCCTCCGCAACCACATCATACACGCTCAAATGTATTTGTATTTACTTGTTATTTCTATCTATTCACTCTGCTGCTTTGTTACCGTTTGGAAATGTTGGTATCCCTTACCCTCTTTCCTTTGTTTATCGTTTCACTGTTCTGTTTAACGTGCAATTCTTAGGTGTATATATGTATACATGAGAACGATTTTATCAGGTTCACGTGGGCATTTTTACTTGAACGTCTTTGTGCTTGCTCTTTCATAAGTTATATACGAATTCGTCCTAGCGTGCACATGGAACAAGAAAATACATAACAGGAGTACGTGAACCAGAGGCGTTGAATAATTTAACACCAACCGTTTACACGAAAATTGGCTAATATGTACAACATACAGGGTATTCGTTGGTTGTGGGGTCATGATACTTCACGGATGCTCTTGCCGAAGAAGCATGCCGGTATCCTCGCCCGAAAACTTCTATCGAAAATTAGATTTGCAAAATACCAGAAGCTCACACAGTCTGCAAACAACTATAGTGGGGGTAATATCTAGTTATATCTCCTGATTTTGGCTCTCCGTCCTATCATTTTGGTGGTATAATACTAGTAAAAGTACACCAATTGTCTGTATACGATATTTCAAAATACTGTTCCGCTGACAACATATCTCAATCCGAAACTGATTTCAGAAGTAATTAAATCAAGCTCAGCTAGAACCGTACTTCTGAGACTGAATTAAATCAAATGTTTTAAATTCCAGAATATGCCTATTTTGACATTCAGAGGCAAACAATTGTTTTCGTTGATTCATTTTCTAGCCTGTACAGATCAAATAACGAAATGGCATGTCCATGGTCAAACTGGAAAACTCAGTCCTAGAATCCGAAATTAGAAGGATGAAATTCCATAAGCGATATGTCGATGATATTTATCTTGCATAAATGACAAAGAAAACGACCTAACCCACATCACGCAAACGTTTAGCAAGACTCACCCTGGAGGCAGAGAACGATAACAAACTAGCATTCCTTTACGTAGCTCTGCACAGGACAACTGATGGGCTGCTTGAAAGAAGGGTTTACTGAAAAGAAACGTGGACTGGACAGTACATCAGCTGTCATAGTTTCGTGCCACTTATACAAAGGAGAAACCTTATTCACCACCTTGTCTCGCGTGCACGAAAGATATGCTCCGAATCCACGTTCGCAGATGAACTTGATCAGATTAGAAACATCCTAAGGGAAATTGATACCCTGAAAGGTTCATCGAAAGAAACCTAAGAGAAAAAATAAAATTTGAGACCGTCCAGGAAGCTCAGAATAACAAGCTGTTTATTAAACTACCATTCATAGGAGATGACCTGTCTGATCTGATTAGGAGACGTTTAGCGCGTGCTGTGAGAGGAACCTTCAATGCAGGCAGGTTGTCATGCTTATTCACCAGCGAACAACACACTGAACCGAAATTCAAAGGCCTTGCGTGACAGGTCTCCAGAAG